TATGAAAACAACTCGCCTACCAGATAGTAGGATAGTGCAGAGAAAGAACTAGAGGTGTATAGTTAACCTGACCACTGCTCATCAGTTAGTGATTCCATAGGTATATTTTTATTTTATGATCTTCGTTTAGTTAGTGATCACTTACTTTGCGAGATGGAATAAATCACCGATGATCTGTGGACGTGCAGAATCTGGAATACTCTGAAAATAGAAAATAGACCATATGAATTAACAGAAATTTTGAATGATCTTTGAATGCCATACTTGTGGAGATTCAAATTATTTCAAAGTTAATGTTTTTGTCTCACTAGGCAACACACATCAACTAGAAGAGAGCTGAAAACCAAGGAACTGCAAAAGGATTCTTCATACTAGAATGGGATTCTCCAGGAATCCACATTGATTACCTGATCACGGATAGAACACACACGACAAGGACGTCATCAACTCAGATTGTTTCCACATTCTAAAATTAGACAAATGTCTTTTGGCGGACAAAGTGTTTTTGTGAAGATATGGCTTCTGCAATATGAACTACAATTTTCTAAGTCATTTTGACAAACAGATTTCGGTGTTCTGTGAAATTCTAATTATTTCGTTTTACATATCTACAGATTTACTCCAGTGGGGAATTGTCCATCACACTGTGTAGTTATTCTTTTCAAGAAACATTCTAAGAGATAAATCAACTGGCCAACATTCTCGTGCATCATACCTTCTAACCGTTAACACATATTAAACATGATAGAAATCTTCCCTTTGTGTTAGCCTTCACCCTTTTTTATCTTGTACTAATTTGTGAGTTGTGGTTGAAGTAGAGACTCGGGAAGAAGACTGCCTTCTGTGGGAAAGAGATCTTTGAATTATTCATGCAGCTGAAAGGATTGATGAAATCAAATGAACATTGCGATCATGAAGTAAGGCGGCTGAGTTGGCGTTAATCAGTAACCGTTTAAATATTCGTCCTTCAATTACCTCATTTGCATTTCTTTACAAGGTAGTAATAAAATTACAAGATATCGTGTATATCCAACATGTTACCTAGTACATATCTCAGTCGAACACCCACTTTCTCTCCATATAGTCCGTTCCCTGTCCTTTCCTTATTCCTAAGTGTCAACATAACGAATATTTCCTCAGGTTATGTAATTCACACATATCACACTTATAGGATGTTGTCAACCACTTGTGTTCAGTTTAATGTAGGTCACTGAACAGATTCGTATCTAACCAGACTGTATCAGTGATTATAATTGAATGACTCAATAATAGACGATTGTAACTTGACCTTTTCTGTTATGGTCACTGTTATTAAGAAATAAGATTTTTTAAATCAGTCCTACTTTCTCAGTAAATGGAACAACTTACCCTATAGTTTTTGAGTAATTCATCTATCAGTAATTCCCAATTATTGTCAACGTAATGAACTCTATAATATCCAATCTGTCCAATATTGATTATGTACCAGTCATTTGGCATAACGTTGAGCTCCATCTTCAGAGTAGCTTTGAGATGAAGAAAATTAATATAACGTTATGTACTCCATATATAATCGGCACTACACCTATAATGACTAAATAAAAAAATACTCCGGCCCAATGAGTAATATTCTTGTGATGAGAGCAGGCTGCTAGCTAAATTGGTAACAGTAATTTACGTCAATATTTATGTCCCAAATATTGGTCGTGAGAAAATATGAACAAAGACTTATTCAACAACCAACCACAGCAGACTTTGCGTAGGCGGATACATTTGATGACATACAGATGATCTGACATTCAAAAAACAGCCACAAAGAGATGAAAGACTAACTTTCAGTGAGAAGCAAGCAATCAGAAGACTGTGTTTGTTTGCTTGAATAATCTATAATAATGTACATGAAAATATATAAATACGTGTTGATTTCCTTAATAAACGATCTGTTGTATGGTGCTTGTCTTCTGTTGTTACATTCTTACATAGCAGTTAGTGTACTGTATGTTGCAACTGAATGCCGCACAGCTTAGAAGACAGTGAAATTGAAATGCATTCAAACAAATGATGTAGACTGGAATCGAATGAATCATAATAATGTTCAAATTGTCATTGTGGATTACGAATACCTGAAATTGGTTTTAGATCATTCCTATCACATGGACAAAGTCTTCGTCCGTCTGGGGATGGTCATTCGTAATTCCGCTTCACTAGACATTCTCCTTTCCACTTTATCTAATCTCCTTATGAATAAAATATTTAACGGAATAGGGGATGCATTTTATCTTGGAACTAGATATCTAATAGTATTGTAACAACAGAAGACAAGCACCATACAACAGATCGTTTATTAAGGAAATCAACACGTATTTATATATTTTCATGTACATTATTATAGATTATTCAAGCAAACAAACACAGTCTTCTGATTGCTTGCTTCTCACTGAAAGTTAGTCTTTCATCTCTTTGTGGCTGTTTTTTGAATGTCAGATCATCTGTATGTCATCAAATGTATCCGCCTACGCAAAGTCTGCTGTGGTTGGTTGTTGAATAAGTCTTTGTTCATATTTTCTCACGACCAATATTTGGGACATAAATATTGACGTAAATTACTGTCCACCAATTTTGACTAACAGCCAACCTTCATCACAGTATAATTGAAAACAGCATAAACAAAGGAACTAAGACTTTCATATTGTATTAATCCCTAAATGTTTTATTTTAGTGTCTATATAAACGCAATCTAATAAAGCGTTTTATCTCCCAAGTAAGAGAAATCTACTCTGATAAATGTCTTAATGAAGAGCTCACTACTAATAAACAACTGATGAGTAAAATCGAATACCCAGAGAAATTCATCGACAGCAATATGAATGTGAATTCAAGGCAAGTAAGAGTACAAACAATCCTTACAAATCCATCTCCTCAATGACGACCCCAGCAATTAATAATAGCGCAGCTTCTGAGTAATGCAGTGAAACGTTCATTCGTTGCCGCTGTCTCTTTATAACCACCCCTATTTTACCTCATTTTGCCTCTTCTGTGTAAATCTATCAATTTGACTGTTCCTGTGGAGTCACTATCATAGGGCGTACAGTTAGGCGTGTTTATCATCGGATTTCCTAACACCATCCTGCGTGGTTAAGCAAAGAAAAACAAGGTCCATTCATAACTCTATTATATATCTCATCTCGTGGATACAGAACACAAAATTGATGTTTACGATGCTCTGAAAGTTATCTACTGTATTCCGACAAACCTTAATTTTATGTCAAGAGTTCTTCTGTTATATATTACTGAAGCCGTCGGAATCTACATTAAGAAGCCATCTTATGAATCCGAAATAATTCAGTTCATATGCTCCCTCTTGCTTTCTTCATCAGTGTTTTAACTATCCTTAATTCCTATGCATTTTCTTAACCTTATACGATATTCTATTTAGTATTACATTTTCAGTGCTCATAATAAATTATGCATCTCCCTTGAACTGTAATTCCATTGATCCTAACAAATCGATATTATTGAAAAAGTATCATTATTATCAGTGACGATTATTATAGAATATATATATATATGGATCGGACACTAACTGAGGAGACCGCTGGGTGACATCGCGCGCCAAGCCCTCGAGTGGAACCCGAAAGGGAAGCGGCGTGTGGGACGTCCAAGCGTGACATGGAGGAGATCGTGTGAAGAGGAGTTGAAAGAAGATGGATTAACATGGAGGCAGGCGAAAAGTATAGCAGAAGACATAAGAAAATGGAGACGTGCAGTTGAAGCCCTATGTTCCACTAGGAACCCAAGGGAGCAATAATAATAATATATGTAATTATAGAGACATGAGTTCCTTCAAGGTTTCAGATACGCCTTCCTTACTGATGGGTGTCAACTAGCACGAAACCTAGGTCAAGTAAGGCTTCCTGTTGCCGATTACCTCTAACCAACTAATATCAACAATTCAAAGTGCTCAATGATGGCGAGCCACCTAGTAGCATGTTGGCCCTATTGCAAACTTGACTGATAGAATTCAGACTGCACCAAACAAAGGAGTGGACACATGACACCAGTTACTAAGTGGTGTATTAAAAAGGAAATTTATTCCCTTGAACTTTTCTCTGTCTTCTAAATTTCTGAATACGAACTCTAGTTGTAGTAAAACTGTGTGAATTAATGATTCAATCGGCGTATTTTTCAACTATATGGGTCACAAATGAAGGTATCGAAGTCAGTATCAGAAAAACATGACAGGTGTTCATTCCTTTGAAATCAATTTGAAGATTCACACACACAAATAAACACTCAGCACAAAAATACGACATCTGGATTTTTAACACCACTGTCAAGTCAGCGCTTTTATGTGGTCCAGTGATTGGTGCGTCACCACAGGTATCTCCAACATGTCACTTTAAACCTTCATCAACACCTGCCTCCACTCGACAATGAAGACCAGACAGATAGCCAGAAAGAATAAGCATCAACAATCTCTTTGAGGGAGGCAAATAACCAAGAACCTACTGTCCAACCAATATTCAGGAAGAAATGCAGGTGAATTGAACGTACACCGAAGAAGGATTCATTGATGTCACATACCAGGACGTGGAGTGGGATTCGACTACAAAGTGACGAATAGGTGGGTGGATAGGTAGGTAGGTAGGTAGGTGATGGATTGTTTTATTGAACTTGTGACCATTACAAGTATTAATATAGCATACAGCATACAGCACTACTTACCGTTGTTCATCCATATGATTTCATTCGCTGACCCATCCTTTGTCGTGTAAGTAATGGGGATTTTCCAAGTGAAACTAAGTAAACAAAATTTCAAATAAATGACACCAAAAAATATTTTTGTTGTTCTACCAGATGTGAAAGCAAAAATGATTGTGAAATATGCTATACATTCTCTTCTGTTTTATAAAGATTGACGATTCATTTGAAATTCAACTATGTAGCACTTCACATGTTTATAAACGAGGATTTTCGACAGGATTCTTCCATTTCCGTATATGAAGAAGTGACCGGACGTAAAAACTGATAAGTGGATTTTAGCCAGAACAAAATTTAACTGCATCTTTTAAATATGAAGCAAAGAAATCCAGGGTTTTAACAACTGCCAACTAATCAATTAGAATTCATGGGTCATGTGATCGGTTCCGACTGTTTTAATGGTCTACGAGCTCGCCTTCTAACCAGAACCTCCTGGGTCCGAACCCTGACTGGTGCATACTGCTGATGGTTGACTGTTGATAGATAGATAGAAGGAATTAATTACCTTGTGATAGATAACAGAGAGTCATATCTTATAAGAATGGGTAGCTGATAAAGAACTAAAAAGTTGATGAACACAACTTTATATGAAGTCGACCATCTGTGAGTTATTGGCTTCATAGTACACCGATGAATACTCAGTGGTTCAATTCACCTAACAAGCAGCATAATTTCGGCTTATTTCTGTACTCCCATTTACAATATTAGAACAAGACATATAAGCGAACAATATTGTTTTCAATTAGATCTTCTTCAGGCTTTACTCTAATTTACATAGACTTATTTATATATATGAAATTTTAACCAATGACGGTGATTTTGTGGATCAAATAATAATAATCATAATAATAATACTAATGTGGTAAATGTTTTGAACGGAGTTAATAACGATGATTATAATAATCCCAGTGGGTGCGTACTGCCGATGATTCCCAAACTAGGGTGAAACAGCAGCTGTCCAGTACTCCCTGGTTTTCAATGGTTCTCTAACTGATATCAATCCGTGATTAACCCGTAAGATTATAATAATAACAAAATATCGATAATAAGGCTTATACAGAAGATAAGAATAACAAAGTTAGTATATGCATATATGTAGACAATTCAATAAATAAATAAATTAGGTCAAATCAAATGGAACGATAATCAGAGTTTAAATAAATATCATAAAAGTACGAAGGAGAGGGATGATAAGAAAGGGTGGGAGGGTTTTGAATAGAATTCACCTAGGCCAAGGGAGAGACAAAGGTAGAACAAATTTCTTTTGTATACAAAGACTGGGATTGTTCTCTCGAATTCCCATAGCTTCGGCTAAGTGTAAAAGACGGGTTCTGATTCCGTTCGAAAGACTCGATGGAATGCGGTAAATAACTTTGAAGGCACTATTTTTGTCCACTTGGTGACCACTATCAATCAAATGAGCCAAAATAGAACTTCGTATGGATTTTATTTGACCTTTTCCGAACCATGAAGGAAGATGCTCATTAATGTGTTTGTTAAGCTGTCTAGTTGTTCGGCCTATATAGCTTTCTCCACAGGAGCAACTAAATTTATAGATACACATGGAAGTGGCACAACTAGGTAGCTTATCCTTCACTTTAGCAATCAAAATTGGTCGGCTGGGAAATGACAAACAGAGGGTGGCGGCAGTATAAGTCCGTTTTATCGCTCTCGATAATCTCTGATGTAAGACTTCACTAGCCACGTCCCCATTAAATTGCAGTTTCACGAACAGTTGTTTCTTTTTAACTGTTGTCGGTTTTACTTTATTGTACTTGGCATTCATGTGTCTTCTGACAAATCTACTAGGATAACCCATTTGGACTAACGCATTTCGGATGTATCCTAGCTCATTCTCTAGGGAGTCATCTGTACAGATGCATCTTGCTCTATTCGTCAGGCATCTGACCAAATTGATCTTGTATCGGATTGGTACATAACTGAGGAAATGTGTATATTGTCCTATAGATGTAGGTTTTCTATAGACATCTCTCTTGAGTGAACCATCCTCTCTTCTGCTCAACTGGACGTCAAGGAAATGTAGTCCACCATCATATTCTTCTTCACAAGTGAAGATGAGCGATGGATGTGCATCATTAAACTTTTTTAACATTTCATTCTTGTCAGCTTTCACATCAAGAATGATAAATGCATCATCAACATAACGAAAATAAGAATCAGCTTTTTCTATTACTTTTTTCAATGGACCATTTTCAATCTTGGCAAGAAAGAAATCTGCTAAAATTGGCCCCAACGGAGAACCCATGGCAATACCGTCGATTTGCCTGTAGTAAAGGTTGTTGAATATGAAATGTACATTTATAGTACATCTTAAAAGCAACTCTTTCAGACTACTAACCGGTATTCCGATGTCGATCTGTTTTTCTAGTATCTGTTGGCATATGAATTCCCCAGTCTCCATAAGTGGTACATTGGTAAACAGTGATGCTACATCTAAGGAAAGCATTTGCTTCCCATTTACATTAATATCATCCACGTTAGCAATAAATTCAAAAACGTCTTTAACACTATGACTTACTACCATCTTGTGTAATGGTTGGAGGAGTTCACCTAACCACATTAGTATTATTATTATTTGATCATTGGTTAAAATTTTATATATATATATATATATATATAAGTCTATCTAAATTAGAGTAAAGCCTGAAGAAGATGTAATTGAAAACAACAATATTGTTCGCTTATATGTCTTGTTCTAATATTATTTCTGTACTACACACGATTTCGTCAAGTAAATGAGATGAATCTGTTTACCTTTGAGACAGATAACTCGATACTCGGTAAATTACCCAAAATGGTACGTTCAATTTGATATGATATTCACTGCCCATCAGATTACCACACCTAATTTTTGCTTCTTCCAGCCAGTCTGATCCATTCTGATGAGCATTTAAGAATTGCGACTTACATCTTCATACTACAATTTTCATGTAGAGCATTCCAAGCTTCATATTTCTTCAAATGAACTATTCAAATGACCGGTAAATTAATATTGAATAATTTGGCTTTAGAAGAAGTCTTCTCCATTCATTATATATCTGAGTGTGCATATCATAAGGAACTGTTCTTCTGTTACACAGTTATGCAACAAAACAAACATCTGCTAGTGCAAATGTTTGACTGCAGAGTAGTAGGAGTACTTTTCACTCTTCTAAATAATCCCTCATCAAAGTGCAAAGTTTTTTCTCTATTTCAAACTATTTCTGACAGGTGACAGAACCCTCCCACTTCCCATTTACTGCAAACTAACCAAACTTCGTTTTCACATGCCATTTATGGGAGATTCATAAGCAGTGATAGCTTTGAATTCATTCGAAGAGTACAAGGACAGGACAACACATTTTCACAGCTTCGTTCCTCTCAAGTACAAAAGAAATTTATTAATGACCCTCAGCCACAGGATTAGACCTATTTGCTCAGAAGAGGTAACTGAAAATGAAATAAGGATTGTATATGATACCTTGATTGAAAATAGCTATCCAGACAAACTCATCAGCAAAGACATTACCAAGAAAGCAGAAAAGGACTATTCTCCATCTGTAAATAAGAAGCCTGAATACAAACGACTGGAATTCAAGGGCGATCAACCTAGCGAAATAATTACGAAGAAGTTCAGAAAATCAGTTTAAAGAACTTTTAATTCTGGCAAATTACCAGTCTTACTTTCTACACGACCGGTGGTCATTCCTCGATTGAAAGATGAAGTACCTAGACTAGCCACTTCTAACTGCATCTACCAATTTAACTGCGCTTATATCGGCCGTTACTCTAGGAACTTGATTTTTCGTGACTACCAGGAAATATCTACCAGTTTGGCCAAATAAAGGTGTAGGAACAGTTCGATATTAGACCACCTGGTTCGAACCGGCCATAAAGCAATCATTGAAGAATCCTTATCTATCATTCACTGGCTGCCAGATAAATTGCCAAAAACATCGAAGTACCACATGCTCCAAACAGCAGAGACTATCGCGATTCTCCTGAAACAACCTGTGCTTTGTGCTCAGAAGAAACAGGTCCAGCTAGCCACTACTACTGCCCTATCCGGCCTTCATTAAAGACTATTAATTCATAAATTTGTAGTACTATTATTTTTCTTAATTTAACTGATATTCAGTGTATTGTTATGTCGTTGATGCTATCAAACTGTAATCAATTGATATAATTATTGTTATTGATTCGATGTTCTTTCAACATTATTGTTGTTAATAGCACTAATTCATTCACTATTATCTATATATAACTGTAGAACCTGATGAAAAGGAGGTTGTCGAAAGGAGTATACTTTGAAAATTTTAATGGACATTTTTAATCAGTTAGAATATTTTGCTGTGAATCAGCAAATTATAGAAGAATTTCAAATGTTACATCCTTTACTAAATCATGAATTCTTGAAAGGCACTTCCTATCCTTCCTATACTGGCCACAAATCGGGATAAATGTTACATAAATCCCAACAAGACACCATCATCTATTTGGCGAGATGGAAGAAATTGATGAAAAACACTCCACTCACTTGTATGGGGATGGCATAAGAGTATCATTAGACGACTCATAGAAATGAATCTGTTTGAAATCGAAGGTGTTGGAATCACTTCGGTTAACAATCAAAATTGGATAATTCATTTGCTTTGTCCAAGTATCCATGATTGATTTGATGTCGATGTCTTTATTGACACTTTTGACCGCCTAAAATTTCAAAACTAGATCCCATTACATTTGAACTGTACACGTATTTTTAATCATAAGAGCCTAATGCAGCATAGTATTTAAGAAAATGGTTACTTTCAGCGTGTTCATTGGAATTGTATTTTATGAGTGAATTCCAAACAGTTCCTAGGGTAGCTTACCTCTTTCTGATATCAAAGTAGTATAACACCAATAAATAGAAATAATCGCCGAATAATTGATTTGCCAAACTACACTTCAATTCTTGATTTAATTGAGATAGGACAGAAAATGCGAATAACTCTAAATTTAGTGAAATGAAACACCTTTTGGATGTAGTGTTAATCACTACAGTCACATCTCACACATTACTGGCATATTGATTCAAGTATTCATGGATTATAATTCATGACAATGTTACCACAATCTAGTTTTACTCTAAGCATGAAAGCGAATATGATATCTAAACGTAATCCTCTAATTTCCATTCTGGTGTCTCACGATTGACTACTTTTTTTGAGGAGACTTTCACTAGCATAAAATACACCACGAACCATTAATTGCTCAAATAGAAATACGTTCCACAATAGTTTGATGGTGACTGGTATATAAATTCATGGAATGGATATCATCTTATTATTCAACGCTTCAGTTGAATGTAGGCGGTGCACTTCCATCGGAACCATGGGCTACAAACAGAATGAAATGCTCATCCTCGACTCCACTTCTAGGCTTCACTAATTTGGACATGATCGACTAAATCTCATGCATCTATATTATCAGATTTATTGATGAATAGTTCATCCCTGATCCAGACAATGCAAGAGATCTCTAATGAACTAAAAGTTCGTTCCAGATATTCGTTTCAGTTGATTCTTATGTATGTGGATACAGTAATCTTACGTGAATTCCAATAAAGTGTATATGACAGACAGCTGTTCTAGCTTGTTCTACGCACTGCAAAGTTTAATTATGCCCACAAAAGCTGCAACAATCTGGTACTATGATGATTAATTATGAGGAACAAATCCACTAAATTATGAAAACAGTAACCACTATCATCCTTAGTAACTTTCTATAAGTTTCTCTGTATGAGTTACTTTTGCCCATACACCTCGTCATTTTATGAATAACTTCAACCGGATAAGGCTGGATTCAGGAGGAACAAGTCATGCATCGATCAAATCGCAACACTACGATTATCATTGAAAAGAGCTGGAATGACAGTCAGCTCTCTATCTCACTCAACTTCATTGACTTTGAGAAGGCCTTCGACAGCGTCGATCGAGAGGTAATTTGGAAGCTACTTCGCTACTGTAGAGTACCACCAACAATTATACACCTCGTCCAACACTTGCACGACAATGCTGCATGACAAGTAATCCACAATGAGAAACTTACGGAATCCTTCGAAGTGAGGACGGGAGTAAGACAAGCTGACTAGCTGCCTTCTATCTCCAATGGTTGCCCTGATTTCGGTAGACTGAATAAGAGACAGATTCACAGAGGACAACGAGAAGACAAGCATAAAATGGACCCACACAAAAAACATGGGGGATTCGACTTCGGCGATAATATATGTCTGATTTCCTACAAACTGGAAGATTTACAAGTGAAAAACAACAAGTTGACAGAAGAAGCATCAAAGATAGGAGGGATTTCAGGCTAACATAGAGAAAACAGAGGTGATGAAGATTTGTGACCGACAGCAACAGAAACAACAACAGACAACAATCAGCCGGCACTATTGGGAGAAATCCTACCTACCTGGGAAGCATCGTCGTTTCAACTACAGGCAGATGGAACTGATGAGGATATCAAAGCGAAAATCGGTAAAGCAAGGCAGGCCTTCATTTCTCAAAAGTTTGTGTGGAGATCAACAACACTCAGCATGAAAAATTCGATCCAGATTTTCAACTTCAGTGTGAATTCAGTGCTATCACACAGATCAGAGACTTGGCGCCACGTCGCGTCACGAAAAACACTTTGAACAAACTACACACCCTCATCAACAGCTGTCTTCTCTCAATACTACTCAAGATCAGATGGCCGGCCAGAAAAGATCAGCAACAGAGAGGGATTTCTGGCAATGAGCGAACCAACCCAGCCGAATCATTGTGCGTCAAATAAGCAGGAAGAAATGAAGGTGGATTGGCTGACCATATTCTGACAAGACAAACCATCAAGTGACATCACACGCCAGGTCATCGCTCTGGTTGAACCCGAGTGGGAAGCGGCGAGTTGGGCATCGGTGACAGGGTGACATGGAGGAGAAGGTCGTGCGAAGAGGAAATGAAAGCATGTGGGCAGACGTGGAGCCAGGTAAAAACGTTGGCAGAGAACCGAACGCAATGGAAACATGCGTCTGAAGCCCTATGTTCCTCTAGGAACTAAAGGAAACAATAATAATGATTATTATAATTGAAGAAAATCACCATGACCTCTTAACAACATGAAAGTCTGTTGTATCACCAGAAATACATTACTCATCAAAATATCAAAACATTTACTGTAAGTTGTTAGTTATTTGAAAGCAGAGACTTACACGATCCAACGCCTTCCATAGATCTTCCGCGTCCGTATTTTTATATTTGTTTTCTTGTAAGTAGATCTTGTGGAAATAAAGAAAAGTGACATTGTGAATATTAACCAACCTGAAGTTGTAACATGTAAATGCAGTTTTCCTAATGCTGCTTTTGACTACTGACTTCCACTTAGGCTCATATGAAGTAGATGCCATCTAAGGCACCTGTAAAAATGAAAGATGCTACTCACAACTAGTCACTACTAACTATTTAATATTATCATATACTCATTCTACAGTTCTCATACTTGTAGAGTCTCACATACGCCACTTTCATATATCTCTCCCTGAAAAACCACATTCTTTTCAACTAAACTCAATTTAACTAAATCACCTGTTGTGTAATGTTTATCAATTAAATATTTATGAATGACCGCCATCAGAGAATCAATTAAAACAAGACAAGTGGTCGATTCAAATCTGTAGGTCTGCCTAACAATCAACCCCTTTAAGTCGAGAATAAAATTTAGGTTACCTGAAGGTGAATCAGTGAAGGGAACTGTCCACTTTGCAAAGCGCATTTGCAGATGTCTGATACTTTTGAAAAATAAGACGCCTAGCTGGTTTGTTTACAAACTACCAGTGATGACAGAAAACTACACGTAGAGTGATGATTTTATATGAAAATTCACGGAAATGATAAAGCTGACGAAGTTGTCGAGTGATGCTCGCATCTACTACTAGATTAGTACAAAACAGTATGCAGAGTTAAAAAGATACACTTTGGCCAAATATAAAGCACCTCAACTACGTCCAGTTTTCAAACGCATAAGAAACAAATGCTTTTTGTGTAAGGAATCGAAACGTAACTCACCTTCAAGCCATTTAAGAAGACATCATCTCCAAGAAATGACTTCATCATCCGGATTAACGAAGCACCCTGTAAATTGGTAAAGCATAGAAGACTGTAATTCATGAAATATTGTGCACACAAACAGTATGTCTAAAGCCTTGCTCGCTTATTTCAACACCACAGAATACACCAGTTCAAACCCTTACACCATTATATAAACTGATTTTATTGTTGTGAAAAGAAATATTACGTAATCACATATCGAGTATGACACGAGGTATGACACGATCAACTTACTGCGGCACTCTAACAAATAGCCCCATTGGATTTTGTTTTCCTTTCCTCGTTACTATTACACTGTATTCCTCATCTTCTATCATACATCAACTTTATATTTCATATCCTGTGGTGCATTGTTTGAAATGTAAACGCTACGCTGTTTTTTTATTTATCTTTTTTGGCTTTGGTTTTTTTATTTATTTATTTTTGATTTTAAAAATCTTATAAAATTTATTAGGTAATTAGATGCAATATATTGTAATGCACGCTAAAAATTCCATACCTGTATCACAAATACCGTTTGGAATAAAGCTGTTATTATTATCATTAATGTTAAACACTCCGATTTCATTTTTTTATTTATATCGCAGCATCTGCAGTGCAAATGCACCTGAGAAGGCATTTGTGATACGCCACTTTGGCGAAATAAACAATCCCACAGGCCTATAATCAATTTAAAGTCTCGTTAGTGGGACTTATGTGTTCCGGAAATTCCCCATATTTCACATTTTGTAAGCATTATAAATCCAATACTCTCCCAATTCAAACAATAAAGCAGTCCACTCTTGTTGAATTGATCCGGTGCTGTTTCCCACCTTTCAGGCTTCTGGTTACCAGATATCAACTTAACAAACTCTTGTATTCCCGCCGACAACCACACCATTGAACAACACTGATTCGTATAGATTGATACCATCAGCATGCATAAAATGCCACACACAAACACACACTGCATTGAAACACTTCCAGGAAAATGACTTCTTCTGCATACATCTTAGATAAAGTGTCATTCAGGTTCCATCAGTTCGCTTACCCCTCATGTTTTCTCCTCATGTATCAGGTGTGTTCCTGTAGAAATTGTACTACCTGGATATCAGTACAGTCCATTTTTGGAGCTCCTCCGTATTACACTACTTATAATTGAAAAGTTCACATGTTGGGAAGTAAATTTTACAGCCACTATGATATTTGTTCGATTGAGCCTATGACTCGAAAATATAAAATTTCTTATCGGATGAAAATCCCCGACGAAATACATGCAGTTTTAAGTCTGTTAACTAGATCCAACACAACTAAATCCGGACTAACCGTTTAAGATCAAAGTGAGATTGAAAATTATTAAAATTCCACCTCCATATAGAAACTTTGAGTATTTTTGTCACTTTATATGCAAGTGGTCATTGTTTCTTTGACTTTACTGGTTGTATAGTTGAGCATTTAATATTGGTATCAGTTTATCTTCTGATAGAAAGAACTGAAGGTAGAGAGGATTGCTGATCATTTACAACCATGTGAGGATAGCTGTTTCTCTGATTACGTGTTATCCTCGCAATAACCGACTTTCAAGCGGTCACAATACATCAGATACTAACATTTACAACTTACTCAGACTGTACAATAACGCTTTACCTCTACCTGTTTTATAAAAAAGCGCTCATAAATAAATGTCAACCATAAATAATGTCAAACTAACCTTACTGTATGTTATTGTATCAAAAATGTCCTCGATCTCGTCTGGAGAGTTAGCTGAATTAATAACAGGATGAGATTCTATCGAGGCATCTGAGGTCATTGCTCTTTGCAAACCGTTAAAAATGAACTGTTCATCCTGTTTGGCATAAAAGATATTGTATTAATTATAGTTTGGTGGTGGAAATATCAGTTTCAATCTAACTGGCATGACAAACAGCTCAACTCTTGTACATACTTCTTTTGTTCACAAAAGTCTGGCTTAAAGTCATGGATTGCCAAGGCCTCAGCTGTCTTTAGAAGTCTGTAGCGAAGAAAACGTGGGAATTTAGCATTAATTCGATCGAAGATCTTCAAATTATGGTCAGGGTTGACCGAATGACAGAAGTCGGTCAGGTGTTCCATGGCAATTCATGACTTCAAGCCAAACATTTGTGTACTAAAGAAATATATGCAATGCCTACTTCTGCCTTGGCCGTAGAGAGACAGACATTTATTGATTTCGTTTATTTAGTTATTCTCTGTACTTTTCCCTTATTACTACGATTATTATTGTTATTATCATCATTATTACTATTCTCACTCTGAATCTTTTCCACTTAACCCACTTGTCATTTTAAACCAAAATTATTAATTTTTATAATTTTTATTTTTACAATATTGAATTCTATCTTATCAAATTTCTCACCATGTTATGTAACATTTTATATTCGCCCGCTAATCCTATAATTATGTACCCCTTTACAACAACATCTATACACCTTATGTATTATTCTATATATGCCATTAATTATTTTGCCACTTTACTTGAAACTATGATTGTAATCACAAATATTTTAATTGAATTTTAATACTATTACTATTTCATGTATTCACACCTTTGACATAATTCCCTCACCGGATATAATTTCTTTATAAAACCATATATATACGGGTGTACAGCTTGATGATAAATTCGTTGAAAAGAGCCTCTTCGCTGAATATTGTGTTCTTAATGCTGCAATAGGAATTACTAAATTATATAAGAAATAATTAGGATAAAGCAGCGACCTACGTATTTCCAGTGTGGTTGAACAAAGTCTGTGCCAGTGTATTGAAGAAAACTTGCAAAACCTTCATTTAACCAGAGGTTGTTCCACCACTTCATCGTCACTAAGTTACCAAACCACTAAAATTTGAAAACAGAAAGAATGTAAAATGCTGTTGTTTAATATTCACTCACGCCAAAATAAATCTTTTTTTATTTTTCCCTATCTAATGTGAAAGTTAGTCATAGTCACCTTCCTGCAGTGTATATGTATATGTGGTGAGAGCTGTCTGCAAGCCACAAAAATTGTAGACAACAATTGACGTCAATGTTCACCTCCCAAATCGGGGTCATGAGAGAAAACAAGAACAAAGCTGAACCTTGAGGAACTCAACAACCAATCACAGCAGAATTAGCGTAAATGGATACGATTCACAGATATATCACCGGACTATCTAAGAAACGGCAACACAAACGGAGATGACAGAATAATCTTCAGCAGGAAATCGATCAATCAGAAGACGTCACCTCTCTGCTAACAATAACGCTAATAATTATGTACATGAAAATCTATAAATATCTGTTGATTTTTTCAATAAACGATCTGCTGCCTGGTCCTTGTTTTCTGTCGTTACACATATACTACTAATTAAATTAAACGGACGCTTGGAGTGAGGAAAGTTTTTTTAAGATGAATTCATCAACTAGGCTGTACATTCGTGTATTTAAAGTAACTGGGTAAGACAGTTCCAGAAGTATTTCCGATCAAGGGCAAATGAATAAAAATTCAGATGGCAGTTAGTTTCCACACTCCGATCTTCGTTTAGGTTCATTCACTATACTACTGGTTAATATAAGTAGTTTCAAAACACCAAGAGTAAACACTGGTGATTCGCCACCAAAACAGAACTGACTAATTTGTTTAGGTTAATTCACCTATGCTAACGAGCATTGGGTGACTAATGACAATGACCACTTATTACTCACATCAATCAGTAATATATATCGTGTAGCATTTCATCGATGCTACATTGAAACAAACAACACTAGAGTAGATCACAGTTATACATACACAACAGAAAAATACAATTTAATCAAATTGAAATTGTCATTTAATTGGTGGGTGGTGACTAGCAGTGGAATCCAGGATGCGGGTTTCGTGCTATTTTGGACTCGTCAGTGGGATGTACCTGCATTTCCCATTGAGTGATGATGTTCCACCGAGGCTCGAACCAGTGACCATGGTTTCAAACGCCAAAGCGTTATCCACTAGACCACTTGGGCCACGAGAGCCACCTCTTGTGCTGCGGTCACTGAGTTCGAGCTTTGGTGGGAAAATCATCACTCACTGGGAAATGCATGTTCACCCAGATGACGACGAATCCCAAATAGGACGAAATGCGCATCCTGGATTCCACTGCTAGTCACTATCAACAATTAAATACTAATTTAATGCCCAGACATCGTCGAAGCTTCTGCACAAGAAGCCGACATGTCAGCCTGAGGCTGAGCACTTCAGTCCAATCAATCGACCGGAAAAGCCAAAATTCAATGAAATTGTCATTACTTGATGAGATAATTCATGAGTAACAACAACTGTCACATATTCCTTCAATTCAGCTGAATCAGTATACGGATTCCACAACAGTGCACTTTCACGAAATGTTATTAGACCCCAGTTTTCCATTGCGCCATGTTTAAAATTAGGAATTGCAATCAAATCTAAATTCAAATACAAACGAATAAAAACAATTCTGAGTAAGCTTCTCAGTCCACAATCTTTATTTCATTATTCTGAAGGTAACTTTAGGGAACCACGCCGCCTAATTATTTTTGTAGTTCTCCTGATCATAGCTGTTGCAAATTCACTAGAAGAATTTGAGCGCCGAGTCTGAACGATATATTATACTACTCGTTTGAAATAATCCTAGGATATTAGGAAAATCAAAAATGATCTTTCGGAAAGCTTTTCTATATTGGTGTCACATTAATATATGTGTAAAACTTGGCCACTGTGGTAGTAAGTAATTCCATATTACTTCGTTTATTAGGTATATCACACAGTTGGTGAAACAGTATTACTTACCGAAAGACAGTTTCAAAATCAATTTATTATTGTTCATAATCATATCGGTTATGATGATATGACTTCGAAACCTGAGTTTTATAGTTTTCTTTGTTCTCTCCTATCTGTCGTGGTTGGGGTAGTAGAATTTTCCAGATGTCCAGCTGGATAGGTGTTGAATCATTCCCATTACACGTGTTTGCAGTTGATTAATTAAATAAAGCGACTGGCCCTATTCAGGTAGGTAGTTACCTCGGTTCCAGTGGGATGTCGTGACCAATAGGGTGCAGCGGGTCAGGTGTGAGGACAAATACTCGCCGAAGACATTGGCTAGCGGTCGCACTATGTCGTGAATTGGCAGAAGTTAGAATTCAAGGACCATTGGATCGGGTCCTTATGGTATACGAGCTCGCCTTGTACCTAGAAGGTCCTGGGTTCGAACCATGGTGGTGGGGGTGTGCGGAAGAAGAGTCCCAAACTCGGACGAAACAGCTGTCCAGTACTCCCAGGTTTTCCAATTTTTCTCTATCTAATGTCAGCTCATGATGAAATCCTGAAAGCCACAGTCACATATCAATTTCTCCCTCCACTCAGCTGTCACATTGGATTTCAAAACTCTCATCCTATCCCCTACCCCCTCTTGTATGTTTGTGTGTGTGTGTGTGTGTAATTGCATGTAGTGAGTGGTATAGCTGAACTTTCCTCTAGATTTCTTATCTTTTTCGAGTCAGCTAATCTGGATTTTGCTGTTAGGTTTTTATGTTCGGCTAGTCTTACTCACTGCACCTGTTTTACTAGTTTGACCCATGTATTTGACTTGACAATCATTGCAGGCAGGATATTAGATACACTAAATTGTTTTCTTCTAAAGGTTCTACTGGCGGGATCCTTCAACCGACAAAGCTTGTTTCTGATTGAGTTTGTGGTTGGTTTGAATGCCAGCCACTTTTATTGCTGCCTTGTTAAAAATTCTGCGTAAGGTTTTCCGAGGTTCCTTCCTTGTATGGAATTACTACTGATGATTTCGATTCCTTATTGTTGGTGTTGTCATCATCTTACGCATGTTCAACATGCGTGTTGTCATTACTATTACTATTATTATTCATATTATTACCATTATCAGTATCACTACTATCATTATTTATTGGTTCCAGTCAGTCCATCCTATGTCAGTAAACACAGGATTGTTGAAATTTTTAAGTAATAGAGCACAAAAACTAGGTAGTACCAAAGAAAATCTAAGACGCGAAGTGAGGCATATAAGAGAAGCTTTTAAACGTAATAATTACCCTGATATATTAGTCAGCGAGTATGTAGGGAAATGTAAAAATCAAATAAATAATGATAGCACTGATAGTGATAATGATAATAATATTAATAATAATAGTGATAATAATAGTAATAGTAATGACGACACGTATGTTAAACATGTGCAAGATGATGACAACACCAACAATAAAGAATCTAAATCATTAGTAATAACCTTACAAAGAATTTAAAGGAGGGTGTTTTTCCACAATTTATTTCATTGTTCTCACCGGATATCGTCAATATACCACTTTCATCACTCTTTACACTTTATTGAAACAGGCATCTGTTGGTGCAGTGGTAAAATACTCACCAACTACACCGAAAGTGAACCTGGCTCGAACGCCGGTCGACGAACTTGATAACCTCTCACAACCAATAGTAGTCACTGTGAAGAAGGTTTAGCTGGGAACCTTACAACCAGCAAAAAATCAACAACACTACTACTGAAGCTTCAAAATGCTCCAGGGTTGAAGCCCTATATTCCACTAGAAATGCAAAGGATTGAAATAATACAATCAATAAGTAAATCAATAAATCAGAAGGTGTATCTGATGACAATGAAGTGGAAGATATGATATTCAGCCAATTCCGGAATAATTCCCTTCCCCATCCAGGGATGAATGAAGAGAAGAAAAGAACAAAACAGAGAAAATACTTACCCATTTTCGGAAGTGGATAAGGAACTCCAAAGTAATCTTCAAAGTATGTAAGAATTCTTCTACCGATATCCAAAGCATACCTGGCTGATTCAATTTTCTCTGGTCTTGCCCAAACAGTAAACTGATTAAATGCAAAAGATAATGAACAGTGCTTTGTATATCACCCAACTTCAGATGTGTTAAAAAACGCAAACAGAAAATTTTATGAAGAAAATTCCTCAAGCTTGAAACGGAATCCAAATGGGAAGCGACGAGTGCGTCGTCCTAGGATGACGTGAAGGAGATCGTGTGAGGAAGAGATGAGAGATTATCGCTGATTCTGGACCCGTGTGAAGAAGACGGGAGAAAACGGAACGAAGTAAAGATCTGTTGTTGAAGCCATATGTTCTACTCAGAACCCAAGTGAATAATAATAATAATAATAATTTAATAATAATAATCACCATTTGTGAGACAATCTCTATACTTTGACGTAGCTTATGAAAGATGAAACTGTTACTTTGTAATATCAAGTCTACTGAAATCTACAAGGACTCAAATAGTCTCATCACAATTAAATTCTAAGAACATAAAGTAATGAAACAGATGAATATTTTAGGAGAATGAGATGACCTCCTCATAAAGTAACTAAGATATTTACTGATAGTCAGAAACCAGATGTGGATTTGTGATAAACACATACGATGAGTCAGGTTGTGCTGACAAACGTATATTCCGTGGCTACATACTGAAGTTTAAATGCCCAGAAAGCATTGGAAAGAATGAACTCTAGGAATGATCCAACCAAGAACCTATCGCCCAACAAGTACCCCAAAATAAGACAAATGGATCAAACACACTCTGAGAAGACCCTTGGGTGACATCACACGCCAAACAGGCCATCTCTCGAGGGGAAGGTGAATAGAAAACAATTAATTAGACATGAGTCTGAGGATGACATTGTCTTAAGTGCATGAGATATTGTAATCATTTAAACGTTACTTGATGATTCGTTGTGGAAGATGAGAAAACACACATTCTTCCACTAGTATCTGTTGTTCCAGAAAGGAAAGTCATGAAGGAGCTACTGATTCCTTGGCGTTTAACAACCCAGACAGTATTTAGCCTAACGTCACTTTTTGTATGTCTTCAGAGATTTGCATATAAAGCACCTGTAGTCGATGAAATATCCTTCTGTTTGCGGAAATTTCAGACACCTCTCACCTTACTGTAACATTGTCATTTTCGTTCACACGTAGTCATACGTCAACATAACGTGTTTGTTTAATTTTCGTTAACAAGTGAATGCTTTACAAACACAGAATTATAGTTATCCGCCTGTATAACATTGGAATTAAAAGTATGCACCACATACCTGCCCTTACCTGACACTCACCATCTTGAAATATCCCCCAGGCATTTGTATGATGACATCAGAAAGAGAGAGAGAGAAAGTAACGTCATACAGAACCGACTGTACCTTTCAAATCCACAAATATTCTTACTTCACACACCAAGATAATAAATAAATGCTCACTGATATAAGCAGGAAATACTTTGAAAAAGCCTACTCAGTTCCATACTACTCACATTTCTTCCCTTTGAATCAACAGCACGAAGTCCATGAAATTGGCAAATTACAAATGCCAACAGATATGAAGACATATTTACACTCGGTTGAAACTGATCTTGACGCCAGTCAGCGTGAAGCGCAACCGTGTTGTTAACAGGCATATTTGAAAGTGTATAGAAATCCTTGTGGCGTATGATGGTGACCTGTAAGAGAGGAACAATTAACACTTGTTTATAGAAGTTGAAGTTCATAACCACATAGAAAAAGTACTTTCGACATGGAAATGTGTAACATACAAATGCTTTGTCATTCAAAACAACTGTAATCAAACAAAAATTTACTTCATGAGTTCTTTTAAGACGTAGAAATATCGCGAGAAGACGCACTTTAATGCCCTTAAAGAGCGGAACGGATTCTTCAGCCCTCGACTGTGCCCTTCCACCTATGTACATTCATCAAGTACTTAATACATACAAACATAATGATCAATAGATGTTTTTTCACTGGAAGACGTTGAATGATTCTAGTGTATGAATATAATTCTGATTCGATCGATTCTAGTTACCCAAAATAAGGAAAAATCAAACTGCCTAGCGACTGACCTTATTCAGGTAGGTAGTTACCTCGGGTTCTAATGGGAAGCCGTGACCAGTAGGGTATGGCAGGTCCGGTGTGAGGACAAGTACTCGCCAAGGATGACATTCGCTAGTAGTCGCGCTATTTCGTGAATTGACGGAAGTAGGAATTCATGGGCTGGCCATTGGATCGGGTCCCAGTGGCTCAAGGGTCTATGACCTCGCCTTGTAAAAAGAAGGTCCTGAGTTCAGACCCCGGTAGGTACGTGTTGTGAAAAGTCTCATACTACGACCAAACAACCGACTGTCCAGTACTCTCAGCTAGTTTTCCAAAGGTCCTCTAAGCGATGTCAGCTCATGATGAAATTCTGTAACCAATCAATCAAATCTCTACAAACCAGTACTTGAAACTTCCAACTGTAGATTATTTTGACACCACATTGATCTATCCACGAATCGAATAGATAACGTTGAGTGTGTCCCTGTCCATAGATCGCTGCTAGAATTCCATAAAAGACAACCCATATTCTCGCTTCATACTTAGTAGCTCATTCGTACAGTGATATATGAAAGAACTGATCATTAATGGAACAATATACGATTCTTTGGCTTGCTTAATAACCACAGCATATTTTCTGACGAACTGAAATGAATCAAATTGGCTTCTCTTGTGAAATTATGGTCCATTGACTACACACCTATTCTAGATCCTTATACACATATATAGATCGTAAATTCCTTCACATATCCACAGATGAGGCAACATAGCATTTTTCTTTACTCTTAATGAACTACCTCGCAATTAAACAGAAAAAGAGAATGCTCAAGAACCTCAATAGTATACATACCTGAAATACGGCCTTAAATCCAGGTTCATCCCAACAAGGAAATACACGCCTTGCATAAGTTGACTCAAATTGTGTGCTTGCTAAGTACCTGAAATAAAGACGATGCATATCGAGTTAATTGAAAGTGTTTGTGAATGATTCGATGTTAATTATTCTATTCACTTTTACATAAGAGAGAGGGGAGCAATTCAAGATAATTACAAAATACCTTAGCATACACGCGCGCTTTTCGACTATTACGCTACATTTTGGTCATAAATAAAATATCTTATTACTCTAAAATTTTATGCAAAGTGTTTGCGGAAATTATCACAATTATTAACCTTTCGAACACTGAATCCAAAAAATACAATCTTATTGACAGATAATACACATAACTCACTGTTTGGATTTGTGGAATTTTTAAACATAAACACATCTATAATTGTATATATTGTTGGATTTATATGTTCAAGTTGCTCCAAGTCAGTGAGTTTATGGTTAAGATATCATTTTAGTTACATATACTGAACTATATTGCATGTTGTCTTATTGTATAGTTGTCGTCGCTTTTTGCCCTTTTTTCTGTGAACTGTTTCCTTTGTTGATGTTGTTCTCATTGTTTGTCCGTTATTTTCTGATTTTGAGGGGAGCAACCCAAAAAGTTGCTTCTCTCTAAACTTTTACTTAATGTAATCATTCTTTTCTCAGGCGTGAGGCTAGCAACCCCACCCTGTAAACAAAAATTGCTACAGAACTTCAGTATGTGAACCTCCTTGCACCAAAAGAAAAAGTCTGTGTAGGAACATGGAACGTCCGAACTATGTACGAGACTGGAAAAGCTGCCCAGATCGCCAACGAGATGAAAAGATACGGAATACAAGTGCTGGGAATATGTGAGAGCAGATGGAATGGGAGTGGACTCACCAAATTGTCAACAGGTGAGTCAGTGATCTACTCCGGTCACCCAGAAGATAACCACACGCACACCGAGGGCGTGGCTATCATGATGTCACCAACGGCAACGAAAGCCCTGATACAATGGGAGGCGATTTCGTCCAGGATAATGACCGCCAGGTTCAACTCCAAAGGAAGGAAAGTGTCAATCATACAATGTTATGCACCCACAAACAACGCAGACCTCGAGAAGAAAGAAGAATTCTACAGGCAACTACAGGCAACAATGGACAATACTCCAGCTGGCGACATGAAAATACTAATGGGAGACATGAACGCCAAACTGGGACCAGACAATACGGGAAGGGAACTCATCATGGGTAGAGAAGCTCTAGGAGAAATGAATGAAAACGGAGAACTCTTCGCCGACTTCTGCGCCTTCAACGAACTGGTGATTGGTGGCAGTGTATACAAGCACAAAGATATCCACAAGGCTACATGGGTGTCACCAGACGGGCAAACCAAAAACCAAATCGACTTCATCTCAATCTCAAGGAAGTGGAGGCGCAGCCTACTGGACACAAAAGCAAGAAGAGGAGCAGACGTTGGCTCAGACCACTATCTCGTACAAGGGACAATCCAAATCAAATTAAAAGCTTTCAGGGAATCAGGAGCTGCAGATAGACCACAAGCCAAGTTCAACACTCAAAAGCTGAAGGACCAGGCTACAAAGGACATCTTCATTGCAAGCATAAAGGACAAAGCCGAGACACAAATCAACACTAGCGAAGAGGTCGGCGTTGAAAAGCACTGGAACAACTTGAAAACGGTGTGGAGCCAAACCTGCATAGAAATTCTAGGCAGAAAAAAGAGACAGGACAAACAGTGGCTCACTACGGACACTTGGAAACTAATAGAAGAGAGAAGGACAGTGAAGCAAAAGATTATCCAGTGCACGGACGAGCAACAAAAACAGGAGCTGAATGCAAGCTACAATACACTGAACAAAAGAGTGAAGAAAAGTGCCAGGGAAGACAAAAGAAAATATTATGAAACCATGGCAAACGAAGCAGAACAAGCTGCAGGCAAAGGAGACCTCGCCACACTCTACCAAACAACTAGGAACCTTTCGGGCAAACGTTCGACACAGATTAAGCCAATAAAGGACGACAATGGAAAGTCAATCACCAAAGAGGTGGAACAGAGAAAGCACTGGGTTGAACACTTCAAAAGACTTCTAAATCGTCCGCCACCTACAACACGTCCAGCAATACCAACAACGGAAGCAGAACTACCAGTGAACACTGACCCCCCGACGAAATCAGAAGTCCTGAATGCAATCAAGATGCTTAAAACTGGGAAAACACCGGGACCAGATGGAATCCCAGCAGAGGCTTTGAAAATAGACCCAGAGACAACAGCGGACTTGATGACACCACTACTGGAGAAGGTGTGGAAAGAGGGCAAAGTACCCGAGGATTGGAAGAACAGTTACTTATTCAAACTTCCAAAGAAAGGAGACTTAAGTCAATGTAAAAACTGGCGTGGAATTATGCTTCTGTCCATTCCAAGCAAGATACTAAGTCGCATCATCCTGGAGAGAATCAAACAAGCCCTAGATGAAAAACTTCGTCCGGAACAGGCTGGATTCAGGAGAAACAAATCATGTATTGATCAAATCGCCACTCTACGGATCATCATTGAACAAAGCTTGGAATGGCAGTCACCTCTCTATCTCAACTTCATCGACTTTGAAAAGGCCTTCGACAGCGTCGATCGAGAGGTCATTTGGAAACTACTTCGCTACTACGGGGTCCCATCGACAATTATACACCTCATCCAACAGTTATACGACAATGCTGCATGCCAAGTAATCCACAACGGGAAACTTACGGAAGCCTTCGAAGTGAGGACGGGAGTGAGGCAAGGCTGTCTACTATCACCAATGATCTTCCTGATTGCAATTGATTGGATAATGCGACAGACAACGGCAACCAACGAGGGAACAGGCATAAAATGGACTGACACAAAAGACTTGGAGGATCTGGATTTCGCCGATGATATATGTCTGATTTCCCATAAACTGGAAGATATGCAAATGAAAAGTAACAAGTTGGCAGAAGAAGCATCAAAGATAGGACTTCACGTGAACATAGATAAAACAGAGATGATGAAGATTCCTTGCCAACATCAACAGCAACAACAGACCACAATAAGCATAAATGGGAAGAACCTGAAAGAAACAACCTCCTTCACCTACCTGGGAAGCATCGTCTCAACTACAGGCGGAACTGACGAGGACATCAAAGCCAGAATCGGAAAAGCAAGACAAGCTTTCATTACTCTCAAATCTGTGTGGAGGTCAACAGCAATCAGCATCAAAAATAAGATCCGGATTTTCAACTCCAATGTGAAGTCAGTGCTACTATACGGATCAGAGACTTGGCGAGTCATAAAGAGCATCTCAAACAAACTTCAAACCTTCATTAACAACTGTCTCCGCTCAATACTCAAGATCAGATGGCCAGAAAAGATCAGCAACAGGGATCTCTGGGAGCGAACCAATCAGGAACCGATTGTGAAACAAATAGGCAGAAAGAAATGGAGATGGATTGGCCATACGCTGAGGAAACCATCAAGTGACATCACTAGACAAGCCCTCGAGTGGAACCCGAAAGGGAGGCGGCGAGTTGGTCGTCCAAGGGTGACTTGGAGGAGGTCATGTGAAGAGGAGATGAAAGCATGTGGGCAGACCTGGAGCAGGGTGAAAAAGTTGTCAGAAAACCGAAGTCAATGGAGGTGCGCAGCTGAAGCCCTATGTTCCTCTAGGAACTAAAGGATACAATAATAACAATAATAATAATACACGTCAGATATGTTCACTTGAAAATGTCAATGCTTAAGCTTGTATTTTACTTTATAAGTAAATTTTAGTGTATAACCAGTTAGGAAAAGAGAGAAGAGATAGAGAGAGGCTGAGAAATGAGCACATCATGATAAACAAATCGTAATACAAATTGAAGGAATAAAGTTGTTTCGAAAATTCAAGGAAAATCTCAGTAACAATCTCAGTCATGTTCTGTTGAATCAAGATGTATTCCCAATGCAAACATGCTGAACATGTTAAATTTTAAGTAGGCTTTCCAAAGATATTCCTATCGAATCTGACAAAGATACTGCAGGTGTTTAGCTCCTTTTTCCTAATTTATTGATTTACTGCGACACTTAGATTGCTTTGGAGGAAAACATACTACTTAATGGCGTCATGAATTGCCAACCAATTATGAATCACTACTGTGTCTTTGTAAAATGTGTTTGCAGTGACAAGAACAGGATATTTACAGTAAACGCTGTTAACGTATACGACCACCAACATATCTTCAAGTCTGTGCAGATTCGATAATCGGATTTTCCTGGAAATCTGTGGTTAGATTTAATTTTACGTACTTACCTGGGGAGTGTGAGTGTATAATTTCACGAAACTAAGTCAGTTTGCAAATTTACAGTATGATTTATTCAGACTAAAAACCGAGACATTGATTTTCACTGCTTTTCCGGTTACTTCAGATACATGTGTAACAACAGAAGACAAGGGCCGGCAACAGATCGTTTTATTACGGAAATCAGCACGTATTTATTTATATTTCATGTACATCATTATAGCTCATTCAAGCAGACAAACACAGTCCTCTGATTCGTTGTTTCTTGCTTAAGGTGACTGGTTTCTCGGAAAGTTAAGCCATATATCTGCGAATCATATTTGCCCACGTTAAGTCTCCTGTGATTGGTTGTTGAATCAGCCTTGTTCATATTTTCTCACAGCCAATATTGGTGACCTAGACATTGACGTAAATTATTGTCTACCAATTGGCAAGCAGCCTGCTCTCACTACACATGAAACAGTCTCCAGTGTGTGCCTTTTTGAATGATCTGGTAATAAGACAGGAGTCCCATTGATCTATCATGTATATGTCACTCAGTGTCAACAAGAGTAGCGTTTTCATTGCAAGAATGAAAGGCAAGCAGGCATCATCCATTTATCACTTTTCTAGTATCTGATTGATCGGAAATAGACGAATTTTCATTTAGCTTCACATCACCGAAAAGCATTTGCCAACGGTTTGCAGACTTTTGTCAACAACTGCTCTATACTGGAGATGAGATGTCCAGGAAGAATTAATAACACGAAACGCTGGCCGCCGACAAACTAACCAAGAACCTATCGATCAACAAATATTTAGAAGAAAATGGAGATGGATTGATCGGACGCACGTTGAGGAGATGTTGCTTAAAGTCTTCTGCATTTTAATCATGCAGTTATATCAGAGGATTGTTACACCAACTCATGGACATATTCAATCGCCTTTCAACAGAACATTGTGCATTTCTTGAGGCAAACGAAGACAAAATATTCAGAATTGACCCTGTCTTCATATACAACAACACTACGTCACATGATATACTTCGGATTACTACCTTATGTGTAAATCCTGTACGAAGACGAAATATTGTGGATCTAAACACGTTGGAAATTTCCGCACTGTGTTAACACATCGTATGAAACAAAGGTTTATTATGGCAGGTAATTAAGCCGTAAAGAGTTAAGAAGCTCTATTCACACCTTCTTTGTTCATGTGTGAAAGACAGTAAAATCTGTCAGTGCACTACTGGCACTCTCCCACTCTGTACACTATGGATCGCGCTTAATATAGGAATAGAATCCGAGTACTCTAGTGGCGTATAACTTCACATTATTCTACGAATGATAAGGTTTGCTTTGAAACTCATCCAAATGGGAACGTCACTATGAGCTGAACTAAGTTAAAATATTCAACAGAGGACTCAAATCAAATTAGTTCCGATGATTATTAAATATCTCGAATAAAAGTACTTACTTACTTATAAGTTCCATTTTCTGCATATCGACTCAGATAAAATCCTACCGGTTCGTAGTTTAGTGAAGAATTAAATTGACCAAATATCAGTTTATAACTTGCATTGGGTTGTAGTGCATCTTTCAACTGTATATGGTACCATTCAGCGTCTTTATCGTAGGATATCGTCTGTATTGGAATTTCCGTCTTCTTTGAATCTTCCTTATCGTCTGAAAATATCTATACAAGACGAGACAAGATGGAGGGGAGTCGTGAAAGTGAGTCACACTGAATTATTCATAGAAAAGAGACTACTGCACATCGTCGCCCACATTTTAATTACTTGATGTGAATGTTCATCATTTAACATTCAGCCTTATTTGAGTTTAACGGGTAAAAGCTCAACAAAGTCTGTTGTTCATCATTAAACGAATGAAAATCTGAGAATGAATGAAGTAGACTAAAATTAGAATTTCAACTGAGTACATTTCTTTAATATTTTCAAAGCATAGAATTCCATGTATTCATCTTTCAATATCGTTTGCAAAGTGTTGAATAATTGGTGGACAGTAAACTCCACAATGTTAATCTATAAGGAAAAGGTCAGTGTTTGACATGAAGGTACTATCAAGCACTAATCCTTTTATCGAAGCTTTTATCTTGTTCAGTGTTGCAGCCTTATATCCAGTTCAGATGGCTTACTTTTGAAGTATTTCATGACATTGTCGAAAGGTTAACATTCAGATAAGTTCAGTTTCAAATCCCTCAAATATGACTTAATCAAGGGGATATAGTAGACGGAAATTTGTTAAAAACAACTCCTGAAAATTTACCAGTCCTTAATTCAACCTGCAAAGAGCTGAAACTATAAGGTTCCTTTCTGTCTCCACTCCACTTCCCTTTGTCGTAGAAAGATAAGTTTATTCTTTCTACGATATAAACACTGTGTAAGACAGATTATTCCCTCATTGAATTGTTACTGCACTAACAGCTTCGCATACACAGAAAAATGTTAGATGGACTTCACTTACGAGTAGTAATATGAGTTTAGAGTTTAAGCTCAGAATGTGTGTAATTCCACTAATTTAAGTGTTCTCATGGCAACATAATCAAACAAAAGTAATCCATAATTCACTGCATGATTAGAAGAAGCTTTCAGGAATAAGTCATCAGGCTGCAGTGAATGGGGCCTCCAAAAGGCATTAACTGTGAATACTTGGATGACTATAATTGATAAGTGACGTGTTATTGTCAACTGACGACTATTTAGTCCAACATGGACGACAACTTCATATATAAAGAATGTTACTGTCATCGCTTAAATGAGAAACACCAACAATGAAAACGAAGTATGACAGTACTTCTGCCGTGAAATCAACAGGTAACAACGAATCATCTTACAGTCACACAGACCAAAGAAAACAAAAATAAACTTCCGTATACATCGAATCACTCACTTTGATTTGATCCCTACTGACATTAAGATTGGGATAAGCATGAATAAAGAGTTCTGCAGTTGCTGCTAAACACTGAATCTCTATGGTGACAGATCCATTAAAATAGGAGTCTTTAGTATCTGCATTTCCATGAATATGAACTTGAAGCTGTAGATCATAGAAGCGTGGAAATACAGTTTGTGGTAACCGTATATTCTTTGATGATTTGTTAACTGCTTCGTTTGTCGTCACCCCAGTGATATTATTCGGTGAGGTTTCTGTCCCTTCAAAAATAAATCTGCATCATATCTGCGTTCAACCTCTGAAAAATATGACAACAGTTCAATTTCAGTAAACATTTCGATTGTGTTAGAAATCAGTCACAGTATTGGTATCCTTCTAAGTGATCCCCACGTGTGGTAATTTTCCGAGAGAAAATCTCAAATCAGTCTGAATACACGGAGTAGTCTAATATGTGGGGGAGGGGAATTAACTATGAAAATAAGGAGTAAATTAGCCTTAAATTCCAAATAACACATTCGAAGGATTTGGGTTGAATAGGGTAGAAACATTGTAGGCGTGCGCATATGCTGAGTCTTACTGGATGTCGAATTGAAGAGAGAAGCATGTCCTTAAGGTAAATCGATAAAATACTTCTTTCATCTTTGATTGGGCACTAGTAACTATTGTGATAAGTCTAGTTCCCTGTTTCGTGCAGTCCTACAGTATGGAGGTCAATCGCAATCCTGAATAGCGCTGTGGTAACATCCGCTAACTGCAAACGGTATTGGCTGACGCACTTTTGAACCACAGAAGGGACATGAGCTCCTTCATGGTGACTGCAGATACGCCTTGCTGACTGTTGAGTGTCAACTAGCGCGAAACCTAGGTCAAAGGCTTGCCGATTGCCTTCATTCATCTAACCTCTTTCATCTATTTGTTTATTTTCGAAAACACTTTCATTCCTACCTTAGAAGGTAAATTATAACCAAGAACTAATGAATACGGATAGTAAATATCTGCTGGTCATGAATATGAATGCTTGACATGAAAATCTAAACCTCGACCTGTAAGATTGTCTTTAAAAGAAATGTATGGATTGACTAGGCTTTTCTAAGCGAGCATAGATAGATAATCCGATAAAAGTTACCGTGGGACAACTATAATAGGTTCTTGTATTAATTCATAAACGAATTTGACATGACCATCTCCTTTCATAAGTAAAGCGTGGTTTAATGGATGGTGACTTGTAATAAAATCTAACCTCACTAGGAATCTCTTGAATGAAAACGGGGGAGACAGTTTATTAATCCTGTTTGACAGTTCATCGTCAAATGGAATAAATAAGAAAGACACGCAACTGTGGTGTTAGTGAGTAGGAAAGAGTTCAGCGTCATTAAGTAACAAATTAAACACAGAATTACTAAAATAATCGATTTTTTCCAATTACATAACACTACATACATTAATGAATGCTAAATCATATCATCATATATGCAAAGATGAATAACACTTTACTAACTAACCCATTGGTGTATTATAGCCATAATAACGAAGGCTGTGAATACCAGTCGATGCTACTTGATTGTTACAGAGAAAGACGAAAACCAAGTAGACTGTCGTTAACAACACTTTCAAAGACATTCTTTGAAAATCTGAAAATATCAATCCTTCAGAAAAGCTACTCAAATGATTATTAGCTGACAGTGAAAACAATTCAAACAGTCAGGCTTTTATAGTCTTCTCAAATAAGGAAGTAACATTATTGCGTGATAGTTCATCTCATGTTCGATGATGAATAGTTCAAATAAGCGAAATGCATTCAAAGATATTTTCGTCTTGTAGTATCACTTAGGTCATTAGTGCATGAATAAATTGGAGCACATTGTAACACATTGCACGTGTCATATTGTAAGCACAATTTAATCAATCATGTGTCACAATATAGATTAAAATATTTATAATCCATATATTACAGTCATGATTCGTGAACAACTTTCAACCCTTTTTTAATTACAATTGATTCAGTTTGTTTCTTTGTCTGTTAATTCGCGTATCAGTAAGTTAAGAGACATAATTACACTTCGATGTAGTTGTATTCACACACACACAGAGAACACAAACCTCCTTCCTCCGTTATACATAATTACAAATGAAGACGAAGTTTCAGGTGTGGTTTTCATGGCTAGAAATGTATATTTTCATATGAAATGTTTAGAGCCCTTCAGTCTTTGAAATGATCTATGTGTCTTACTGTTATGATTTGTTGTCCTTATTTTCTTGTATGCTGTCAAGCCTATTTTAACACAGGAAGCCAGAGTTCTATGTTTAAAAAGAAGCTTGTCTAGTCATCTCATTCCATCCATCTACCATGGACTTAGTTTCTTGTAATTTCTTTTAGATTTCTTCCACTTTAACATATCTTTATCGACCATTTTGTCGGTGGAACAGGTCATCTTACATATTACTCAAACATCTTTCTAATTTTATGTTGTTTTCCTTTTTGTTTTCTATACCCTTTGTGATTAAGCATCATCCCACAGTGGGACTACGGATATTCATTCATGTCGGAGTGAATTCTCCTCTGTCCCTATGTCCAATCAAGTGATAACTACAAGTATGCTGAATTCTAGATCTGCCTGCTTAAACCAATGGCTACCAAAATTTCCATTTAGTGAAACTGCATTCACTTCTCTCCTCCTCTTCGTGTACTTTTAATCTTCAAATTATGTATCCGGATTACAACATGAACTCGTGAAAATGTTTAGTTGACTTTCAACCTATTGCTGTGCGTACTTTGAAAAGAAAATGAAGGAAACGATTCGTAGAGAATCGGATGTTGTTTCAGATCAAATGACATCGAGTCGTCCTGTATGCTATCGATGAATAGTATTCTACACAGAGTGTAAATATTCCGGAAGAGATTACTCTGACTGAGAGTTCTGTATTAGGGGCAAACATGATTTTCAAAGAAAATCTGATATAATTGTGACGCTACACATACTACTACCTACATCAACCAGTAGTACTTCCTCACCAGATCTAGTTGATCCAAACAACGAAGACCGACCGTTTTACTCGTTTGACACTAAGTTCATCAGTGGTGTACCCTGATTGACTCAGCTGAGGGTTCTGAATTAGTTCAAACCAACCGATTTCTTGTTAACTGCTTTGGCAGACTGGTAGTTTGATGAATCAGATTAGTCACTTGCGATTTCCTTTCGATTGGCTGACCCGCTACGGTAGGCGATTTGATCTCTGACATAGAGCCAGAGTAGATAGTCAGCTGTTGGTCAAAGTATGAAGTAGCTTGTTGCCAATACGTTTCCAGTCACGTGAAGTCTCTACAAACATATAGAAGAAATAACTTCAGATTAGCGTTGGAAATCTGAATTTATGCTGACAGCACCAGATTCCCAAACTGACTTCAGATCCTGGCTGGCTGGCTGGCTGGCTTTGACACCCTCATTAGATACGATTATAAACCATTCAGCGCACTCTTCGAGCTTACTACCCAGCCGAGGCGCTAGATAAATTGTACAACAATCTCATTATTTATTTAAGTTGATATTTCATCTGTCTTAAACACGGCTCTCATCAGAACACACTACCCAGTCTCAAGCCTACTTACTTTGAGCTCGATCGTTAAGCAGCACTTACACGCTAGAACGAGTATTCCTAAGGGTATTCAGAGGAGAAGTCTTCAGTTACTGCGGTTAGTTGAGGTCAATCTCGAGTACAACCCATACTTACAAGCCATTGGATTCGGCTGGAATAGTAAAATGGTCAACAAGCTTGACCGTGTGACCAAAGGTCCTGTGTTCGATTTCCGTGGGTTCCCAAACCAGTATTGACCAGCTTTCCAGTAATCCCTGGTTTTTTCTCTGCTTCCCTAACTGACATCAAACCGTGATCGGACTTTTCACAAATGAAATCCCTACAAACTTACACCTGACAATTTGAGAATAAATGTTGAAAATGAAATAAGGTCATTTCTCCACAGTAATCTGACCACCTACAGCTGAATGTATGTCCTGCTCAGTAGATATACTCGGTTTTTCCAGTCCTCTTTTCCCTCACTTTAACTTTGTTTTTTCTTCCTTCACGTTCCCCAGTGGAACACAGGACTTCAAGCTAGTGGCTTGAAGTTTTTGTAGCAGTGTTTCTTTTACAGGATGGGGTTGCTAGCCTCATGCTGGCCCAACCTTCCCTCTTTACCAGAATTATTTCTGGTTCAGCGAGGTAAAGGAGTGCGTCTGTGGCCGGGATCGAACCCCGGACCATGTGCATGCCCGGCGAGCGTCCTAACCGCCATACCACCGACGCACACCTCACTTCAATGAGTAACTTCAATATTATTCATTGGTGACATAAAAGCTGTAATCCGACAAATCATCAGTATTTTCTTCATCATATCTCCCTCATAAATCTGTTCTTTAAAACAAGTACACATCAATCCAGTGCTGTAGTTTTGTAATAAAGTGAAATCAAGGCAACTAGTCAGAATAAATCTGTGAGCATGTGACATTGCTGACACTTGTACATAATGAACTCAAGTTTTTATAATCTAGACTATTTTACGTGCATAATCATAAACAGTTTTATTGACTGACTGACTGACCTCTATCAAGAAGATAAACTTCGTAGAATAAATCAAGATGACAATTCTATGATTTTCATAACTACACAGTCTGTTGACTGCGTGTCAATTGGCCATTTCGATCTGATTTTGTTAATTTCTAGTAAATTTTCAAGGTTAACCTCGACTTCTTTCTAAAAAATTACTCAGTAAACAAAAAAGGAGTAGCGTAGCGTTGAAACTAGACAATTCGGTATATCTTAGTCGATAAAACGGGAGAACAAACAAAGCCGTTAGAGTAGAGCAAGTGACACATTCTAGCACTGTGATCTGATGACAACAGAGAAACAGTATATGCACACAGTGGTGAAGAAACCTTTGTGAATAGAATTCGGAAAATTTCTGTCTGTATAATAAATACATTTACTCTAAGTACAGAATCAAAATGTGGCAGTAAAAGAATGAATGTTTAAGTTGTTTCTCATTTGTTTGTACCTTGTGAATCGAACTAAACCATACCGCGATATTCTCATTTCATGTTACTGTGTAGTGCTTCGCTTCATAGCTGGTAACCCCCACCCAGATGATC